AAAACAATGCCTCCGTAAGATTGGGCTGTAAAGCAGTCATTTTCTTCTTTCTTCCTTCCTTCCTTTCTTTCTTTCTTTCCTTCCTTCTTTCCTTCCTTCTTTCCTTCCTTCCTCCTCCTCCTCCTCTTCCTCCTCCTCCTTCTTTTTCCCAAGACAAGGTTTCTCTGTGCAACTTTGGAGTCTGTCCTGGAATTAGCTCTTTAGGACAGGTTGGTCTCAAACTCACAGAGATCCCCCTGCCTCTGCCTCCAGAGTGCTGGGATTAAAGGTTACTGCTGCCTGGCAAGCATTTTCTTAATTAGTGATTGACAGGGGAGGGTTGGTCACTCCTGGGCTAGTGGTCCTGGGCTCAATAAAAAAAGCAGGTTGAAGCCAGGCAGTGGTGACACACACCTTTAATCCCAGCACTCTGGAGGCAGAGGCAAGTGAATCTCTGTGAGTTCAAGGCCAGCCTGGTCGACAGAGTGTGTTCTAGGACAGTCAAAGCTACACAGAAAAATCCTGTTTTGAAAAACAAAAGGAGAGAAGAGAGGGGGTGAGAGAGAGAGAGAGAGAGAGAGAGAGAGAGAGAGAGAGAGAGAGAGCAGATTGAAAAAGCCAAGGGAAACAAGCCCATAAACAGCACCTTCCATGGCCTCTGCATCAGCTCCTGCCTCCAGGTTCCTGCCCTGTTTGAGTTCCTGCCCTGACTTCCTTCAGTGATGAGCTATGGGTATGAAAACATAAGCCCAATAAACCCTTTCCTCCCCAACTTGCTTTTTGGTCATGGTATTTCATCCCTGACTAAGATGGAAGGCAAGGACCAACATCTGAAGTTGTCCTGTCTGCCCCACAGACATACAAGGCACAATGAGCATACACCCCCTCTCCCCAATACAACCAAAGTGGATTCTAATCCCTTTCTGATCCTCTGGGGACTTTGCAGGGCAGCCCCTGTTGTTGTCTGCTAAGACCTCTGAAGGGGGACAAGGTCAGAACCTTGCAAGATGTTGCTGCAATTGCGTGAAGGCCAGAGAAGTTCTGGAGCCCCTAAGGAGGTGGAGACAGGGTTGAAACAGGATGTCTTATGGAGATGTAGCTCAGGGTGCTAGGCACTGGGTCCTTCTCCGAGTGATCCTATGAGCACCCAGAAGTTCTGTTCAGATGGTTGGCCCTCTGCTGCTTGCTGGGGATCAAGTGGCTCTCCTCTCCCAGGGACCTGCCATGCAGCCTGCTGCTGGGGTGCCCCAGAGTCCATGGGTGATTGAGCAGTCTGTACAAATGACAGGCTATTGGGTCTGGAGCCATTTGACCTGAGATTGGCCAGGGTGTTCCTGTCCTTCTGCATACAGTGGGTACAGGGGGGTTAAGACGGAGGGAGTAGTGTAGAAGGGTTCCTCACTCCCCCAAGTCAGTCCTGGAGGGCTTTCTCTTGTTCCTCAACTGCCTCAGACTATGGTTAGAATGGCACCTCCGCCATCTGTCGTCCCTCCCCCACTCCCCACTCCGGGGCCAGGCTGTGACTGGGGGCTGGCGTGTCTGGTAAACAGGCGGCTGGCAGGTCCCCAGGGCCTGTGGGTGACAGGCCTGGTGCTGGCACCAACCCCAGGGCAGCATGCCCAAGAGGAGGAGCGCGGATGAGTTCTGGGGACCAGAGAAGGTTCCCTGCCATGCCTGAGGGAGTCATGGCTGTGTTCTGTCCCTGGCACGCCTGACTCTCATGGGTGCTGCTCCTGTCCACGCCTTCCCCACTTCTCCATCTCCAGCCCTCACATCATCCCCTCCAGCTACCTTCAGAGAATTCAAGTCAATATTTGGTGTAAACGGAAAAGTTGCCAGGTTCTCTCTACCTGGGGCGAGGCTAGGCAGCCTGCTCGGTGCCTTGGGGAGTTATGCCCTACCACCAGAGAAACTGAGGCCAGAGGGCAGGGGGAGTGCTGAGAGTTCTTAGGACTCCAGTCTCCTCCCCCCCTCTCCCCGTCAGTTCCTTGAGTGGGGGGGAGGGGTGCCTTCACCTCATTTGTCCCGTCTGGGGAATGGGAGGTCAGGTCTGTAGGAGAGGGGTCCTGCCAGCCCTTCTCAGGCCCCTCACAGCCCTGGGGGGGGGGGGGCGAGGAGGCACAGGGCAGGAATCTGTCCTGGTCGGTTCCCGGCTCCCCCTCCTCCACCATGGTGCTGCCAGCTCCCCTTCTCTCTTCTGCCTTCTGGCTGCCAGCCCCTCCCCACGCGGCCCCCAGACCCCAGCTGTGGTGTCTTTACCGCTCTGACCGCCGCTCAGCCTCGCCGACTCCTCCTCCCTCCCTCCCTCCATCCTCTCATCCCTCCTCCCTCCCCTTCTCTCCATCCTCCCTCCGTCCTCTCTCATCCCTCCCCCCTCCATCTTCTCTCATCCCTCCTCTCCCTCCCTCTTTCCATCCTCCCTCCAGCTCCCTCCTCCCCTCCGTCCCTCTTTCTCTCTTCCTCCCTCCCTCTCTCTCTCTCTCTCCGGGGGAAGAAAGGTCACGGTGCAGCTGATTACTCAGAGCTCAGTTGCTGTAGCAACCGGCGGGGGAAGTGGGACAGGCTGGCTTTGAGGACGCGCGAGGTCGGCCGCGGGCGGCTGGAGCCGGCGCGGGCCCCGGTGCGCGGGAGGCCGCCTGCAGCCCGGCTCTGCGCGCTGCGGCCCGGCTCCGGGTTGCGGTTTTAATGAGGCGCCCGCTCCCCTCCCGGGGCTTCGAGGGGAGAGTCCCTGCTCCCGGTCTCGGTCTCCCGGGCTCGGTTTAGGTATCCACGCTCCGCCTGGGTTCTGCTGGCTCCTCCTTTCTCCTCTCTGAGCCGCGTGGGAGCAGCTGCCTCCCCTTTCGGGTGCCCACCCACCCCGCACCAGCTTTAGCCCAGTGCCCAAGGAGACCCCAGCACCCGTTATGTTCCCCCCTCAGCTTCTGTCATTACCAGGGAGACCTATCTGGAGACAGGTGCACTGGGGCTAGCCTGCTCTGGAGACTTCCGAACAAACCGTACACACCCACCCTGTTGCCCCAGCCTGAGCCTGCGCCTCCCTCCAAACCCCGGGTAGAAAACCCTACTAGGTTGCCATAGAAAACCAGACTCCTGTCGTCCTTGGATCCTCTCCAGCCAGCAGCCAGATGAGTTAGGCCAAAGAAGATCTGCTTAGCGGGAGAGGGGGGTGGTCCAGACTTGGCAGGAAGGGAAGAGTGTCCTTGGTGGGGTAGGCGTGGGTTCCAATCCCCAGCCTTGACCCCACACTGCTTGGTCCCGAAGTGAAGTGACAGGGTCTCTTTAGGAACATCTCTTTTCAAATGCTAAACTAGGGCTGGGGAGTGTGGCTTCAGGGGTAGAGAATTTGCCTAGCGTGTGTTGGGCCGTGGGTTCGAATCTCAGCATCATACATAAAAATTAAAACACGCACCTACCTAACCATTCCATGCCTAACCATGCATGTCAGAGAAAGGCAAACCAATGTCAACACAAAGGAAGGGACATGGATACCCACAGCAGCGCTATTAACACAGAACAAATCCTAGAAACAGGGTGTGTCCACCAGAGCTACAAGAACAGGAGACAGCATGGCCTGCTTGCTTAGATTTCTCTAACTCGCTACAAAATGCTACTTGGTTTGTGAGAGCAGAAAAGAGTTCAGTGGAACCCTGGGGATGCTGAGGGCCTGAGAGAGAGACCACAGAGAATCCCACTGTGCTGGGTTGATTTCTTCCTGGAGGAACAAGAGAGAAGCAGCATTTCATCCCCAGGGTGCCCATTTGTACAGTCACACAGGGGAAAAGGGGTGCTGGCATGTGCAAAGGCCCGGTGGCTGGGCAAGTGTGGGATCTTCTAAAATCCACAGGAAAAGTCTTGGCATCTGAAGTGGAATCAGTGAGGGGAATATAGGCAAGCTTCCTCCTGTGGGTGTGGTTTGCAGGAGACTGCAGCAGCCTGGCCTTCTCCACTGCTGCTTGCCCTGGGCCTCCGAGTCTGGGGAATGAAATCATGCTGCTTCTTGGAGCCTAACAGAGTTCATTGGTGGGAACCTAGGATGCTCTCTGTTCCTCACTACCTTTGGACTTCGAGACTCTAGGTGCCTTGCTCAGCTATGTGGGCTTCTAGGGGCAGTCACCTCCCCCACACCCCAGCCTCTGAACTTGGCACAGACCAGGTGTCCAGAGCTATCTTGGGAGGGCAACACCAGGAGGGAGAGACAAAGCTGGTCCAGGTGGGTCCAGGTGGACCTCAGCAGCCCAAGCTACGAGTCCAGTTCAAAGCCAACAGGGGCCATTTCTTTCTTTCCTGAGCTGGAACTAGCTCTTCTTGCTAATGTTGCTCTCCTCAGCCAGGCCACATGGGTTCTCAACCTCTGCTCACTCGAGCACGTGACTGATGGTGAAGGAGGGGTCCATTAGAAGCCTCAGACCTCTTTCCTGTGCAGAGCCATCAAGGAGGGATGCACAGACCGTATGGAGATAAATATGGAGAAATCCCCTGGGGCAGGGCTGGGCTGAGAACCCTTCCCTACTCTTGGCCTCTGGGCTCACACAGCATCCAGGTTTGCAGTTAGAAGAACTAAACAGAGACACAACAGAGGCTGTGGGGCTAGAGAGCTCTGGCTATCCTGCCCATTCCCAAGCAGTGTATAGCAAAGGGCCTGGGATGGCAGGAATTGGGTTGAGAGGAGACTGCTGAGCCAGCCTAGCAGGGGCAAGAGTCAGGAACCTGTCCAATAAAGGTCTAGGTTTTGCTGTCCTAAGGTCCCAAGCTGAGGGTGCCCTGGTGCTCTGGAGACAGACAGACAGACAGACAGACAGACAGACAGACAGACACACCGAGTGTGCAAGGATCCGGGCTGGGATGACAGCAGAGAAAAGGCGGACCGTTGAAACGTGGTCCTTTTAGAAGCCGAGAGTCTTGGGAGGTGAAAGTCAGCGAGGGCTGGCCACTCTAGGCTTGTAGGCATGTTATTTTCAGTGTTCTACTGAGAGTAATGGGTGCCATGGAAGGTTTCAGGCAGGGGGAGTGGCACATTTAGAAGCACTTTCCAGAAAGATCTCCCTGGCTGTCATGAGGGAAAGTGACTGTGGGGCAGAGGTGGAGGCAGAAGCGTTATCAGGAAGGCTCCACAGATGGGACTGAAATAGGTTGGCAGCTGGCAGATGAACGGACAGAGAGGATTTGGGCTGTGGTCCTGACTGCATACGTGGGTGGGGAGGGGCCGACTCCAGACTGGACTTGGGAGGAGAGACTGTCAGGGAGCCTGGTCTTCTGAGGTGCTACGGCACATCCTTTAGTACTTCCTTGTCCCCAGGGTTGGTGATCCTAGACAGAAATGAAGAGATTTTGATTGGCAGAGGTTCAGGGGTAGACACCTGCCAGCCCTAGGGGCAAAAGTCCCAGGGCCTGAGGCATCAGCTAGCAGAGGGCTGCAGCCTGTCCACTTCCGGGGTGGGTACAGCGGAGCAAAGGAGACACGAGCCCCATTTGTGGGCTTTTTCTCTGTCTGGCTACCCTCTGTCTGGTGTGGGACAATTCTGTATTCTGTCAATTATGTTTTAAATAAACCCTGATTGGCCAGTAGCCAGGCAGGAAGTATAGGTGGGACAACCAGATAGGAAGTAGAGGCGGGGCAATAAGAACAGGAGAATACTGGGAAGGAGGAAGCCCATTCTTCCCCAGTCCTGCCCAGACACCAAAGAAGGAAGATATGACCTACCCCGCTGCAAAAGATACTGAGCCATGTGGCTAGTATATACTAGAATAATGGGCTAATATAAGTTACAAGAGTTAACAAGAAGCCTGAGCTAATGGACCAAATAGTTTATAACTTATAGAGATCTCTGTGTGATTTTCTTTGGGATTTACCGGCTATGGGAACTGGGCAGGACAGAAACCCCAGCAAGCAGGCCTTCATGTTATATCTGTCCTTAAGACTCATATTCTTGTCAGAGACAGGGGACAGACTCAGGGCTAGTGAGCTGAGCAAAACAACCCACCAGTCAGAAGTCCGGCCTGGCTGGTGCACAGACCCCAGAGCTGAGTGCACCATGCAAAGAAGCCCCTCCTCCCCTTACCCCAGCCCCAAGCATCCATCCATCCAGTCACTGCGGGTTTTGTTGGCTCTATCCTTTCTACCTCCAATGACACCCCAATACAACCTTGACACTTCTCTAAGTACTTTCTGCTCCCCATCTCTAGTGCAGCCAGGGAGACCCAGGGCATGAAGATTAGGGGCTGTGGGTGTAGGTTATGACCCTGATATCTCTGCCAACGTCACCTGCCATCACCATCCAACTCTACCCCTCCCCAGGCCTTGGACTTGGAACCAGGTACCCTGCCCAGGAGTCTGCTCCTTTTGGTGGGTAAGGAAGGTCAGCCAGGTCCATTTTCCCAACCACCACGGCCTTTGAAAGCTCCCCCAAGGACCTACAATTCCTTGTTGTTCCCACCAGAAGTGGGAAGGAGAGCACTTGGACTCCATCAGAAGAGTCTATGGAGTGTGTGTATGTCAGTAGCATGTGCAGTGTCCTGTCTGTGCAAGCGTGCAGACCCTGACTCTGCAGGGTGTGTGGGTGTGTATGTGTGCACCCATATTGAATGTTTAGGAGTATGTGTGGGCAGTGCTATGTGCATAATTATACCATGTTTGTGTGCACATGTGTGTATACTTAAACACATGTAACTGTGTGCTATCCATATTACATGCCTGGGGCACATATGGCTGCGTGTCTTTATGTGTGCCATGTGTGCCATGCAGGAGTATATGAGCATTTGTGCCTGCTTGTATATGTGCACCTTTGGGCTGCACAGGTGTGTTGGTGAGCAGCGTGTGCACGTGCTTTGTATGTGTGCAGATGTGGTGCTGTGTTCTTGTGTGCGGTGGTGACAGGTGCATGCACCTGGCTGGTTCATCCATGCATCCTTTCCTGTGAGTGGAAACGCCCAGAGGAAGTATTCCTGTGAAGGCAGGGAAGAACTCTGGAATGGGGACTGGCTCTTCTATAGTGGGCTCCTGCTTCTGAGCCTGGAAATACAGGTGCAGCATGGTCTTCCCTGCACCATGGTGTCCCCCCTCCCAGCGTTTCTTCTCTGCTCCTGTGGGCCAGCGGATTCCAGGAGGCCCCAGAGCCATTATTTGTGAAGTTCCCAGACTCGTGTATTTTCCAGAAGCTGAAGACTGGGCTTGGACTCTGCCCTGTTACCCTGTCTGCATGGGGCTTTACTATGCTGCAATGCATACTGGGTAAGCCCAAGACATGGCTGCTACTATTGAACCAAGGTAATAAGGCAGACGCTTCCCTAGCATTACCTAAGCAGATGTCTCCCCTCGGTAGTCTGTGTGTGAAGGGGGCCGACAGGGGGTCTTGGGATGGGCAAGGATGCTGTATAGATTGAAAAGGACAGACAAAAGCTGCTGGTGCTGTAGCACCAGCAAGGAGAACACCTGGTTTCCATGGTAAAGGTGGCAGTGTGGGGATATGGTCAGAAGGTTCTAGGGACATTGCTTCAACGTGTCCCCTAGGTTAAGTGCCACTAGCGGATAGGCAAGGTCAGGCAGGGCTGAGTTGTGGGTGCTGTGCCCTCAGAATGGATTAGTGCTGGGCCAGCAAGATGACTCAGACAGGTAAGGTAATTGCTGCCAAGAGAGAACCAACTCCTGAAGGTGGCCTCTGACCTCTACACACAGGCCATGACCACTGCCCATGTGCACACTTACGCACGCACGCACGTGCGCGCACACACACTCACACACTCGCACACGTGTGCACAAACAGACACACATACGCATGCACACATGCACACACACGCATGCACACACACTCGTGCACACACATGTGCACACACTCTCGCGCACACACACACAAATACATGCACACACTCGCGTGTGCACATACACATACAGACACACGCATGTGCACACGCACGCACACACGCTGTGCTTCTTGAATGTCTGCTATGCTATCCTTTGTTTTCTGACCTCTTCTTCATGTTCTTTCCACGCAGTTCCTTCCGCCCAGCTCCACTGAAGCCAGAAGCCTCCACCAGCATTGGTGATACCTCTCACATCTCAGGAGAAGTTGGGTTTTACCCCAGACCCTGTGGGCTAAGAGCCACAGGCAGTCACCAATGGTTCAGAGAATCCCAGGAGTTGCTGGCAAGAGGACGGAAGGAAACCCAGTGGGAGCAGGACCTGGCTGCCAGGTTCCAGCAACGTGGGGCAGAGCCCCTTCCGGGAAAGGTTGAAAAGACCAGAAATGACATGGAGGACAGGGAAGCTAGGTGAGCCTCGGGTTGCTGGCTGGCAGAGTCTCGACCACTTCCCTCTGCATGGAGGCTGGCCATGGTGGCTTCAGCTTTGCCCAGGCCTCTCCTTTCTGCCTCCACTAGCATCCAGGTGAGGCTAACAACAAGACCATACATCTCATCGTGGGTCAAGAATTAATAAGTGAATGCATGGAAATTTTAAGTTTTCGCTTTTTTATTTGTTTGGGGGTGTGTGTGTGTGCGTGCGTGTGTGCGTGGTGTGTGTGCTCATACATGGAGGTAAAAGGAGTTGGTCTAGCCTTCCACCATGTGGGTCTCAGGGATAGAACTCAGGTCATCAGGCTTGGCAGCAAGAACCGTTCACTGCTGAGCCCTCTCTCTACCCAGCAAACCTTTCTGTCGCCTATTCATGCCCTTAAGGCAGCCAGGCTGGAGGATCTTTTTTTTAAAAATATTTATTTATTTATTATATATACAGTGTTCTGTCTGTGTGTATGTCTGCAGGCCAGAAATGGGCACCAAACCTTATTACAGATGGTTGTGAGCCACCATATGGTTGCCGGGAATTGAACTCAGGACCTTTGGAAGAGCAGACAATGCTCTTAACCACTGAGCCATCTCTCCAGCCCCAGGCTGGAGGATCTTGACATTGGGTTGTAGAATCAGCCTCGTGTGGCTCCAGGAAAGCCAGTATCGCAGTTGTGGGGTGTCAGGGTCTGCTTTACACCCCAAAATCATATCGTCTCCTATGAGGTGCTGTTAATCCCGATCTATGAGGGGAGGAAAACAAAGCTCAAGAAGACACGCTACTCTGGGTGACACAGCCAGTAAATGGCAGAGGTGGAAACCCCCCTCCCCCACATGCTGCATCTAAGTTCATAACCTAAGCACACATCCCTGGGCTGAGGGCAGAGTTCACTCACTCACTTGTCAATCACTCATTCACCCACTCATTCATTCTCCCAGCTCCTGCCAGGAATCCTCAGGGTGCTCCATCCCTGAGGCATTGTGTCTGCAGCAGTGGAGGAAGAGATCGCCATTCCTGTCCATCAGAATGCCACGCAGACACAGCTGGCAGAGGGTCATGGGGACCTGGTGATATGAGGGGGTCCAGCGATGGTTTAATATGAGCACTGCTGCCTGGAAGAGTGTTGCCAGCAGGGAGTTGTGCCTCCGAGGAGAAGTGGGTGGCTCCCTGCAGGAGCTCCTGGCCTGCCCTGTTTGTTGATGGCTACAGTGGACGGAGACTCAGACCAAACTGGACGCCACTATCGTTCTATCTGTGACCAGAGACAGGCTTACACACTGTGAAGAGCAAGGGTCCATCTGGTGCGGGGACTAGGCCCCGACCTTGAGTCTAGTGTCTACAGTATAGAGAACCATTCTATGATGAGTGAGCCAGCTCTGCTCTGTCCTCTGTGGGTTAGGAGCGACCTTGGGCCCAGACTGGAGTGTTAGGAGGGATTCGGCAAAGACACCTGCATGAGCTTCAGATCAGCCTTGGAAAGCCCATGGTGCCGGTGGCCCCAGCTAGTCCCTGGGACAGCAGAGATGGCAGGGCTGTGAGGCCCTTTAAAGCTCTGTCCCATTTTCTCTTTGAGTGAGATTGGAGGTCTGCGGATTTCTCTGCAAGTGGCAGTGGGTCCTGAGGTCCTGAGTAACTGTGTCCTCTAAGGAGTCTCTTTATCATCTAGAGAGTACAAGGCATGGGATAGTGCCCCCTACAAAGCTGCCAGAGCCATTTCAAGCTCGGGCCTAGGGACAGTATTCCCTAAAACAATGTGAAGAATTCAGACGGAAAGCCAGCCACCTCAGCCTACGCTGTGCTGTCATCTGAGCCCAGGGTCCTTCCTAACGTTTTAGCTTTGGTAATGCAGAAATAGAGCTCTTCACCCCCAGGTCCAATGAGGCGCCTGGCATCTATGCTAAGTACTACATGTCCCAGTCTCCTTTGCGACTAGGGACAGTCATGTGATCAGATCTGACCAATGGGACACAGGTGATGATTTCAGCGCTCTCCAGCTTGCCTTTAAAAGGAAAAGAGAGATGCTGGTGACTTTAGGGGACTTGAAGCCCTGTTGGGTCCCTCCAACATGCACAGAAAAGAACAGAGAAGAGGTGCTAACCCTCTTTGATCCTGTGCACAGAGTGATGGTATATACAAAAGGAGTCTAGGCCCTGGGCTCCCTGAGAGTAATAATAAGGAAAGCCTCTAAAAGACAAAAATTAGGCCTCTCTTAGGGCCACTGTCACTTGGGTTCTGCCAAGGGTGCTGGGTCAGCCTCCAAACCCAGTCCCTGAGGCTCAAAAAGGATAGCAGGCAAGTGGGGAAACCGGAGATAGCCATAGTCCAAAACCAGTGCTCAAAGAGGAAGGCACGAGGCAGGGAGTTCAAGGCCAGCCTGAGCTACGTAACAAAATAAACAAACAGGCAGACGCATATATATATGCGTGTGTGTCACTGGGCTGAATGATGGTTGACACCACCCACAGCTGATGACACCGCCCACAGCCAGTGACACCGCCCACAGCAGGTGACACCGCCCACACCGCCCACAGCCGGTGACACCGCCCACAGCAGGTGACACTGCCCACACCGCCCACAGCCGGTGACACTGCCCACAGCAGGTGACACCGCCCATGGTGATTTCAGGTTGGTGGGTGATTAAATCAGCCAGTGGTCTGGCGCTGTCCCAGGGAGAGTCTAAGCCTGGAAGAACTGGTGACTTCTGCATCCTATTGCCATTAAGTGTCCCTGCTGTGAGGAGCAGGTTCCTCTTCTGCTGTTTGTGGCCAGAATTCTAAGATGGTTGTGCTAACAAATGCCTACCTGTTCATAAAATGCCAGCTCAGTACACTGTGACCTCATCCTTTTCCTCAAAGTCAGTAGGGGAAGTTGAATTGTCTTGGTTTTTTGTTTGTTAGTTTGTTTTGTTTTTCGAGACGGGGTTTCTATGTGTAACAGTCCTAATAACTGTTCTAGAACTCGCTTTGTAGACCAGGTTGGCCTTGAATTCACTGAGATCTGCCTGCCTCTGCCTTCTGAGTCCTGGGACTAAAGATGTCTGCCACCATTACCCAGTTAATTGTCCTGTTTGTGTGTGTGTGTGTGTGTGTGTGTGTGTGTGTGTGTGTGTGTGTGTGTGTTTCGAGACAGCTATCGAGCCTGTCCTGGAACTAGCTCTAGTAGACCAGGGTGGCCTCAAACTCACAGGGATCCGCCTGCCTCTGCCTCCCAAGTACTGGGATTAAAGGCGTGCACCTGGCTAAATTGTCCGGTTTAAAGGTGAGAAAACACTCAAAGACCATATCACCTGGCCAGTGGCTTGTCACACTGTGGGCCTTTGTAGCCCTCAAACAAAATTTTCTTAGTATTCTGCCATTGTTATTCATTTGTTTTTGTTTTTTTTCAAGAGAAGGTTTCTCAGTACCTATGGAGCCTGTGAGCCTGTCCTGGAAATTGCTTTGTAGACTTACAGAGATCCACCTGCCTCTGCCTCCTGAGTACTGGCTTAAAGGTGTGAGCCTTTAGGCTATGCTACTATTTTTTTAAAATATATTTGAAGGAGTGGAACATGGGAAGGGCATGTCCTGACTAGATTTTATGTCAACCTGACACCAGCCAGGGTCATCTGGGAAGAAGGAATCTTAACTGAGAAAATGTCTTTATAGGCTTGACCTGTGGGCAAGTCTGTAGGGCATTTTCTTGGTTGATAACTATTGGGGGAGTGCCCAGCTCACTGTGGGTGGGGCCATCACTGGGCAGGCAGTCCTGGATGTCTAAGGAAGCAGGCTGAGCAAGCCACGAGGAACAAGTCAGTAACCAGCACCCTCCATGGCCTCTGCTTCAGTTCCTGCCTTGAGTTCCTGCCCTGACTTCCTTGGCGATGGACTGAAAGCTGAAACAAACCCTGTGTCTCTCAGTTCCTGTTTGTTGCTATGTTTAATCATAGCAATAGAAATTCTAAGGCGGGGGACACAGGAGAAGGACAAGATGAGGAACTTGCTAATGACCTAGCGCTGCCTCTTCCATCCAGGTGTCTGCTTTCCTGGTGAAGATGAGGACACTCCCTCCTTGTGTCCTTTCTGGGTTCTGTTACCCTATATCCCTCAGGAGCAGAAGAAGCAGCCTTGTGATAGGAGCTTTCCCTTCGTTCTGCACACCCACCCCTTTGTCTCAGAACTCTTCCTGGGCTTCTATAAGACCTCACCCTGTATGGACAGTCAGAGACCCTTAACCCTGGTGGGATGCTTCAGAGCTAGGTGTCCCGGAAACTAAAGGAGGACTCCCTCTTGAAGTCACAGTGGCTTTGCCTCTGGGAGATATGAGGCAGGGGCAAAGCAGGGAGTCACAGGCAAAGGCAGCTCTTCCTTGTAGGGCTGCGTGTGGGTGACACTAATCTATCAATAAAGCTTAAATACAGCCTGATCTGGAAGTGTCCAGTTAACTCTAGGCTGGGTTGTCAAGTATCAGCAGTGCTAATATTAGTAATATAACAAAGGGTTAACAGTTCCAAACAACTGCAAAAGAAACAGTCTTTGGTGGCGGTGGTAGAAAGGGCTTGGGCTTGATCTGGTACCCAGGATGCCTCTCTAGGGTTTATGGGACCTGGGTCTGAGCATGCAATCTTCCACTCCCTTGGCCAGATCAGTTTTATTAGGAATAGAAAGTGCTGGAATTTCACCATGGAAGAAAACCACAGACTTGGGACAGAACTCCACAACAGAATCCCTGGCTAGCACACATGGGGCCCTAGGGTCCATCCCCGGCACTGCAAAAGAAAAACTTACAAAAATCTGGCTCTGAGATGGCCCAGTGGTTAACCACACACACTTACCTTGCAGAGGACCTGCATTCTGTTCCCAGTGCCATGGCAGGCACCTCACAGCAGCCTGTAGCATCTGCACCAGAGGATCCAGCACCCTCTTCTGGCCACTGAGGGCATCTACACACATATGCATGTTGCAACACATAAACATACATACATACTATTTAATTCTTTTAAAAATAAAGCTTCAAATTCTCTCCACTGGTTCTCAGTTCTTTTCCTAAGAGACAGCCCCACACTCCACACGCCTCACCCACCAAGCTTCCCTGCCTTTGATTACCTCCCAAGGCTGGGCACTCATTACTCACAAGGCTGTCCACCCCTTTACCTCCACCATCTCCGATTCAGGCCATCTAGACCAGATGATCCTCTGTCCTGAGATCAATGACCACGGAATCAATTTCTCCCCACTGGGACCCTTCCTGGACCCCTGACCAACTGCTATCCTCCTGGAATAGGGCAGCATCCAGACTCCGGGAAGCTGGGGACAGCACTGCAGAGAAGCACAGACAGCCAGGCCCAGCTCTGCTTCCCCCTCCTGCTGCCTGGCCTGGAAGATCTTTTCTCACCAGAACAGCAGCTGAGAAAGGCAAAGATTTGCCCAAAGCAAACACATCAAGTCCTTCTGCAAACACATCTCCCCCTAGACTGAGGCTCCAGAGACCCCGGGGGAGGAGGGACTTGGAGGAGGCTGCTGCAGAGCTGGCTGCCTAAATTTGTTACAGAACCTAGATGGAGAACCCTGGGTGTCTGATTTTTTTAAATTAATTTATTCTTTGACAATTTCATGTATGTATATTCCTGTAACGCTCACGCTCTTACTCTCTCTTGTTTCCTTCCAGCCCCCTGGCCTCCCCATCATCCCACCAAGACCCCCCATTTTCCATGTTTTTTAAAGACAAGCAACCCAGTTTTTTAAAAAGATTTATTTATTTTTCTTTGATTTGTACTTGTGTTTTGCCTGCATGTATGTCTGTGCCCCATTTGATTGCAGTGCACATAGAGACCAGAAGAGGGCGTTATATGCCCTGAACTGGAATTACAGACTGTTGTGAGCCAACATGTGGGTGCTGGGAATCGAACCTGGGCATCTGGAAGAGCAGCCAGTGTTCTTAACCACAGAACCATCTCTCCATTCCCTGACTTTGTTTTCACTTTGTGGCCTATTAGGCTTAACCAGGGTTGCCTATGTGGCATGGGTGTGGAGCCGTCCACTGGGGAATGGACTCCCCAGTGGCTCAGTCACAGAAGACAGTGACACACACACACCCCAACCGCGCACTCATCCATGCCAAGGGTTCCCTGGCTCCATGAGCTCCTCCCACATCTAACTGAATTCTTCAGGCTTGGTTTTACTCTTGACTCTATACAGGCAACTGAAGCAACCAGGAATTTGAGAGTGTTCTGGCTTTATTGTGTTTCTAAAACAGCATTCAAAAGCCAGGCACACACCTTTAATCCCAGCACTCTAGAGGCAGAAGCAGGCAGATCTCTGTGAGTTTGAAGTCAGACTGGTCTGCATAGTGAGTTTCAGGACAATTAGAGCTATAGAGAGAGATCCTGACTCAAAAAACAAAACAGCAAAAGATAGCATTTAAAACCCCCTCCTCCCCATGATTTGGTCCTTGCATTCTTCCCACCCACTCCTAGTGGAAAGGGATGCTCCCTGAGCCTTGGCAGGGGTAATACATGTCGCTTGTTCTTAGCATCCTTATCAGCCATGAGTCTCTGCACTGACTGCTGTTCACTGCAGAGGGAAGTGTCTTTGATTAAGGCTGTACTAGTCTATCAGTGCAAATACACATATTTAGGAGGTGACACCTTCACTTAGCAAAACTAAAATAGTAAGTTCACCCCTAGTACCTATGACTTCCCAGCCGTGGGCCTTTGACCAGGTCCACAGTATCCTGCAGAGTCAGGCTTCAGAGTTGAGCTAAGAGCAGTTGGTTACCCCATGGACTGGTGTGCCACTATGGCACTACGGCAACTTGCCTTGCATGGGAAGTTGGTGTAGTGACATGCAGGATCCAACTCTTGCTGGCTTTTCTCTCCTGGCTGCCTACATAGCAGCTTCCATCACCAAGAAAGCCATGTTTCTTGGGGCTGGGATAGAAATATCTGGCTCTGGTGATCTCTAGAGGACTCTGGACAATTATACTCCCAGGGTGGGGACAGTGGCCCCTTCCTAATACCAGGCAGGGGGAAACACTGAGGGACGAGCCACTGGCTCTGCAGTCTGCTCTCACAGCCTGCTCCTTCTTCTGTGAAGGGCCTGTCCTATTCAGCCACACTTGCCTTCCTCGGGCCTCAGTATCCCCCCCCCCCCCCCCCCCCCCCCCCCCCCCCCCCCCCCCCCCCCCCCCCCCCCCCCCCCCGGAAAGCAAGGCAACAGTCCTCCCTCCGGCCTGGCCTTCCACAACGGTGGGTGGCTGTTTACCTGCTTGCTTATTTTGAGACTCAAGCAAAAGTCCCCTGGAACTCACTGTTGTAGCCAAGGATGATCTTGGGTGTCTGATCCTCCAGGCTCTACCCTCCCCAGGGGCTTGGATGCCAAGTGTGTGTCACCATGCCCGGTGTGTTTATCCCTAAAGATCAACCCCAGGCCTCGTGCATGTTAGACAAGCAGTCTACAGACTGAGCCGCACCCCCCAGAACCTCCCACTTTTAAATGACTACTCAGCCTCCCATCTGCCCATTCCTAACCTCCAGCCCACGGTTCTCTTCCTAGTAATAACCATAACAGCAGTAACTGTACTTGATGTGTGTGCAGGGCCCCAGGCAAAGCCCGCCACACCCTAGACTCCACTGACCCCTCCCACTGGCCCCAGAAAGAGGCGCTTGCAGGGCTATGGATGGGTATGTTGAGGTCCAGTGGCCTCCGCTGAGAGGACTCCAGGACCAGCACTGGGGAAAGGACAAAGGCTGATGATCCAGGGTGTGTTTCTTTCTCTGGCTCTGGGTTCAGGGTCAGGGTGCTAGATCTCATGCTCAGGGATTGGTTGGTTTCTTTGGCCGGCCCTTTTACCCTACAGAGGGTGTCTCGTCAATCAAGTGTGTTAGAGTAGTGGGGACTTGTTAGGGCTGGCTTCTCCATCCAGCAGCACAGGAGAGAGCTGCAAGGGAGGGGCAGAAAAGCTGGCTCTCCCAAGAGCTCAAGGGCTCTCTCCCCTACTTCCCTCTGCGGGTCCTTGTCTTCCTGCTTCCGCCTTCTGAGAACTGGGGGTGCAGACAGATGCCACCAGGCCTGGCATGGTGCTGGAAATGGTCTCTTTTAGCTCAGAATGGCCTCGAGTTTGCTGCCTAGATGAGGATGACCTTGGGGGTGTCCTTTGGTAAACAGTGCAGCTCTCGGCTAGGTAGGTCGATCTAGGGAGGCCTTTGGAGAAGAGCTGGGTCCTTTCCGGGACCTGGGTCAACGGATCACAGGCTTTGCTATAGCAGAGGGGTTGCTGGGCTATGCTGATCCTAGCTGCATCCTCTGAGGCCCTGACTGAGAAAGGCAGGAGCCCGGGCCTCCAGCAAATCCCTTTGCCTGCTGAACACTGTGCACAGACAAGGCTGTAATTCTGAAGCAGAGACCAGTTGAGCACTACTGTCTCACAGCCTTAGGTCGGGGGTGAGGGGGTGGGGGGAGAGGGAGGGAGGGTAGGGGCGGGGATGGGGGGGTGGAACTGTGTTTTGGAATGTGAAGGCTCCTGCTGTGGGAACTAAAACTTAGAAAAGCTGATGGGGGAGGGGTGGGGAAAGATGGCTCAAAGGATAAGGGAGCTTGCTGCCCAGCCAGACAACCAAAGTTGTATTCCAGCAACCCACATGGTAGAAGAAGAGAACGGACTCCCTCAAGGTGTTCTCTGACCCTATTTACATATCATGGTACACTTGAGCACACACACACCTACACAAAATAAATAAATTTGATTTTAAGAAAAGGGCAACTCTGGAACAAGGTGGTAGCAAACAAAGGGTCCCCTTGGCTTGCACCTGGGAACATGAAAGGCCCTAGAAGAGGAGACAGCATGATCCTGGTAGCAGGGCTGAGGTGGGATGTGACACCGTTAGGTGACAAGCAGAAGGCACCGCCTGTACCAGCTTTGTCCTTTTCCTCTAAATGACCTGGAGCTGGTGAGTTTCTTAAGCTGAGCTGCCAGTCTCTGGGAAAATGTGAGGTGACTTTCCCACGGGGTCTGCAGAACCCCCAACTTAGCCCAGGAGGTCCTCTAGAACTCAGGTTTCGGGCTGCCCAGGACCTGCTGGTACTCAGGCCAACCTTGTGCAGCCTGAGTCTGAGACAGGAGGCCTTAGCTTTAGCATCCTGGGTAGGTAGAACAGTCCTCCCGGGCACCGGGGCAAGCCCAGTTGTAACCCCCAGAGAACCAATTAAGCCCTGCCCCAGCTATCTGAGCCATCTGGCCTTCTTGGTTCTAGAACCCAGACTGAAAGTCTGGAGAACGGCTTGGAGGGGGACAATGGTGCACAGTGGAACCTGGAGCAGGAGCCTTATACTGGCCTGTGCAGACTCCTTGACTACCCAATGCACGGGCCTTTGAAGGAGTATCCCAGGGCCTTTGAGAATGACTCTCAGTCGGTTGAGGAGCCACAGTGGAGGGCCGAAGAGGAAAACTGGGAACCCCAACGAAGATAGGACTCCACGGTGTTCAGAGTAAGCTCTAAGCAAGCAACTCCTCCCCTCCAGAGGAAGTGGAAAGGGCAAGCCCCTGGCCTAAGGCCACCCAGCAGGGGAGAACAGGACTCTAACCGGGATTTGGACTCCGCTTTCTCTCTAAATTGCTACTCTTAACCCCTTCCTAATCGGCTCTCTACCGTAAGCGAAGTTGCACGCAGAAAGACGGAAGGGGAGGAAAGAAAGGAAAGGCACCCGGCCGGTTCTTCCCACGCCCCGGTCACCCCGTCCCCTCCGCTATCGAGCTGGGAGGTCCGCAGCCGCCTCTACCTCTTCAGCAGCTACCCCCGCGGTGCTGCTGTAACCCGCCCCGAAGCAGCATTTTTACATCAGGACCCCGGGCGTGGGGAAGCCTTCCGACCAACGAGGTCCGGAGGGAGCTCGCGCCGAGCGGTGGGCTGCACAGCACACACCCCCACCCACGCGCGCCGGGGTCACTGAACGATTGATGGGGCAGTGCAGAGATGGACGAGTGTCGCACGCTCTGTCCACAGGGTGGGCGCGCGGGCTGTGCGCGTGGGTCGCCGGTTCCGCGCGCCGGGCCTTCCTAGCTCCCTCGCTTGCTTTTTCCTTTCTCTCTCTCTCTTTTTTTTCCTGGAGCGGAGCCCGGCGCCAGGAGTCTGGAACCAGCCTGACAAGCCTTTGAGTTATGGGGGAGGGGCGGCGCGCACCCCCGCTGCGAGGCGCGCCCCGATCCGACGCGAGCCCGGGCGGCGGCGCCAGCGGCCCCGAGAGCCGCGCGAACCAGGCCGGCCCCGGGCGCGGCCGCCCCCGCCGAGCCAGGCATTCCTTTCCGCTGAAGCTCTGGCCCGCTTGCAGCGCCCCGGGCCACCGGCCTGCCGAATGGGGGCGGGGGCGGCCCCCCGCCACCCCAGGGAGGTTCTTCGGTTCCCTTCGCGTCCCCTTCACCCCTGGCTGGTGGTCCCTCCCACCCCAGCGCGGTCTTTTGTCCCTGTCTGGTTCCTTCCACCCCCAGCTGGTTCCTTCCTTGAGACTAGATCCCCCTACACCTCAACTCCGCGATCCTAGTTCGTCCCCACCACCCGCCGTGGCGATCTCTCCCACAGGCTGGACCCATCCCTCCACCTCTGTGTGATTTCTTCCGTCCCTGCTTTGTCCCCTTCACTCCCTAGCTGGTTCTTTCCTAGCCACTACTGCTTCCTCCAGTCCTCTAGAGGAAGGCGGATAGACCCCTTTTGTAGCCCAGAAGACCCTGCTTTCTGCTGACCATTGGGGACAGTGTCCAGTGGAGATTCTCCTTTTTCTTTTTCCCATTGTCTTAGGCCCGGCGACAGCACAGGGAGTACAGAGCAGAGGGACGTGGTCACCGGCTGAACCCGAAACAGAGGACTCAGTCAAGGCCTAGCCTGGTGGGTTTGGAGAAGAACTCAGACTCCAGAATTAGCAGAAAGAGCACGTGAGCGGGCCAGCAGCGGACAGGACCCAGGTTCTGTGCACAGGTCTCGCCTGGGCGCTGGCAGGGATACCTTAGTGCGGGCATTCCATGGAGCCACCATGCCCCTATATCCGCTCTCCATAGCATGCCCATCCCACCCCACACCCAGCCAAGTAATTGAAGAGTGTCGTCTGGTCTGTCCCAAGACAGGCCATCTCTGTATAGCCATGTGGCCTTTTGCTTTAGAGGCTCGGGGCTCTGCCCCTCTGCAGGCCCCCTTTGAACCTTGCAGCAAGTCTGGAATAGGTTACTAACAGGGCTGGCCTCCCGATAGAAAGTTTCTAGAAGCCCGGCCGATCCAGACAGCACAGGGCCTAACCAGAGGCAAGGCTTCAGCACGGAGCCACTTGCTCCTTATTACTGAGAGGCTCACCAGACCCCACAAGCCCCACTCCCAGTGACCCTTGACTGCAACTCCAAGAATGCAGGGCCTGTTCTGAAGCTAAGCAGCCTGGCCCCTCCTCCGTCCCCTGCCAAGCAGAGTGGAAACCAAGCCAGACCAAGCTGCTGAGTAGAAATTTCCAGTCTCCTGGCATAGTTGGAAGGGCCTGGGTGAGGCTCAGAGGTTTAGCAGGGCAGACTCGGTGGTACTGAGGTGGGGAGGGACCCCCAGATGTTCCAAAAGCTGGAAGCCCCCAAGCAGCCGAAGGCTGTTGTCCGCTGTAGCCAGTGGAAGCTCAGCTCGGCCTTTCTGTTGGCCCTTCCCCTGGGAGTCAGTCCATCAGAGACAAAGAGGCTAGGACAGCAGTGTGGAGGAAAGGCTGCAGGATCTGCCCAGAAGCAGCCAGCACAACTGTTTGTCTGGAAGTAGACTGTTTGCTCCAACCACTAGCCTAATTTCTTGTTGAGGCCACCTAGCCTCTCAGGGACAAGTCTTATTAGCTCCTTGGTCACCTAAAGGGACAGGGTTCTCCCAATTGTGTCCTGACCCTAAAATCAGCTTGAATTGAGGGTACTCGGTACACAGGCAGTTCACAGGGCTGTGTGACCCAGCTGAGTCACTCAGCCTCTCTGGGCCTTGTTCTGTCTGCCCATGCCCCTGGCTTACATGGGGGAAATAAGCATTGCACTGGGAAGAGACAGGCTGCATCCTGGTACTCTCTTGATCCGTGTCTGAACAGGATGAAGGACAGACAGAGGAAGCAGTTAAGCACAGAAGGAAGACGGAAAGCAGGGTGGACGGATGGTAGGATAGCTGGATGATGGGGGGTGGGTGGGTGGGTGAGTAAATGGGTGCATGGTGGGCAGTTGGGTTGATGGGAGAGGAGAGGGGTGACCGCTGGCCTGGCCTATGCACTCAGTGAGGCCCCAGTGCACAGCTGGCTTCCAGCAGACAGGCTTAGGGACTAGGGACATTAGGGGACAATGACAGCTAGACAAGGCTTTGGCATGTAAGGCTTCCTTGGGAGGGAGACAGACCAATTGCTGTGTTCTGAGAGCCACTGGGATGCCTGACACCCGGAGGAGTTTGCAGTTATACTCAGACACTGATGATAACCCTGTCGGGGGTACTGTTGCAGATATGGGTTACAGTTCAGATGTTTCTGCTGAGCTCCTTAAAATTCCTGGACCAGTTGCCTCAGTTTCCTCAACTGCAAATGGGACCACACCAGAAACTGCATGGGCAGCTTGCGGTGAGGACCTGCCTGTCTCTGACCCCACTGTGTCACTACTTACCTGCCAGGTGACTTTGGGTATGGCACAGCCTCCCCACAGGCCACAGCAAGGCACACAGCCAAGCTCTGCTGAACTGGGCTGCTTTGGCCCTTCTGCAAGTGCGTAACAGAGGTCAGAACGGCCCAGAAGCACACACCCGTTCTGTGCACTCAGACACACTCCCGCAGCACACACTGATGAAAACAGAAACATGCCCACACACATCCATGTACACTGACACATGCCCACATCTGTGTACATGGACACACACAGGTCTACAACACACATGCATGCACTGGGGTGTGCTCTGACAGCATACTCAGCCAGGCACACAGACATGTCTCCCCATACATTCGCCATTGCACTCTGCCCCTGAGTATGGACCAGCACCCTGGCCCCTACATAGGGTCACACTCCCACAGTCGAGGCGCTGGTGCACACCAACACGTCTGCATAGCACACACACAGGCCGCACAGATCCAGGCACACTTGCCTGCAGCACACAGACACGCCCACACTGTGCAGCTCCCCACACAGCAGCTCACACTCACACCCTTGCTCCGCTGAGCGCCAACTGTTGGTGCGCGAGGGGGGAGGGGGAGGATGAAGCCCACGACTCAGCGAGGAAGAGGGGCGCGGGGGGGTGCGCGGGCGGGCGAGGAGATGACAGCCCGCGGTCCCCCTCGAGTCCCGGCTCATGAATATTAATGCGGCGGTAATTAAAATGCAGGGACGCAGCAGGATGGATGCGGTGCCTCCGGAGCGCTGTGCGGCGCGGGCGGGTGGAGCGGTTCCACGGCCGAGGCCGGGCCGGTTTTCGCGGCGTCCCGGTCCCCTCCGCCCCCGCGCCCACCGCCACCCTCCCCCTCACCCGGCCCCCCGCGCCCCCGCCCCCACCTGCACCCTTCCCGTCCCGCGCCCTCGGGCGGGCCGAGCGCCAGGCCGCCTTCCCGGAGCCGCCTTCCTGCGCGGCCGCTGATGTCAGAGGCTCAAAACTTTCCGCTTCCCGCCTGGCGGCCTCGGGCCCTGAGTCATCGCCGCCCCCGGAGCCCTGGCCCGCGACGTGTTTGTGCAGAACCGGGCTCTGCTGGCCCTGCCTGACGTCAGGGCCCGGGCCGCCAGGCCGCACAGCTGGGACGATGCCACCCGGGGGGCCTAGAGGAGGACGTGCACCTGCGTTTTTTAGGTTCAAAAGCGACGCTAGCTGCCTGACCTTGGGCAGGGTCTTTCTGTCTCTGGGGATCTCTGACTTCCTCATCTGCCTCTTAGCAGATGCTCCTCAAATCTGTACAGCCTTGAGAGGTGCGGTGACTCCTTGCCCGTGACCCCACCCAGTACTCCTGTGGCTGAGGCAAGAGCATTACTGGGAGTTCAGTTCAGCCTGAAAAGAAGGTGGAAGAAGAAATGAATGATGAAAAACAAAACAAAAAATTGGCCGAAGTGGAAGTACTTTTAACCCAAGCTCTCTGCAGGCAAGGCCAGTCAGACCTACTTAGCAAACTCAGGCCAGCCAGGGCTTCACTGTGAGTGTCTCAAAGCAAAACAAAACAACAGTCAAAATCTAGAGAACAAGTGGCCACGGGAGCCCAACCCCAACCGATACATCTACAGTACAAACCCTAATCTAAAACCCAGGGGAAACTGAAGAAGAGGCAGAGATGGTAAGAGCCAGGGTCCAACACATCTGCTGTGGGGCTGTGTCTTCTATACATGGCAAGGAAGTCGTACCCATGAAGTCTCAACAATGTGGCCACCTAAACAAGACCTTCAAAACGACACCACCAGTGAACATGGCCTCGCCTACAGGGGAGGTGGGAATCTTACAAGGCACCATCCCTAGATGGGGTAATGGCTGCAGAAAGAGGGAGGCTCTCCAGGGACAAGCCCCTTGATAGGTTATCCAATCCCAAAAGATCAGTCATACACATATACATGTACAAGAACACTAACTGGGCTCAGCAGGGTGTGTGTGTGTGTGTGTGTGTGTGTGTGTGTGTGTGTGTGTAGAGATGCCCCCACCAGCACCTAAGGCAGGTGGGAGAGCTAGCCCTGAGGTTAGAAGGGTGGGAGAGCTACTCCTGCCCCCCACCAGCTACAACACTTGGGAAAACAGGCCCTGCACCTCACCTGGGCAGCATAAAGAGCCAGTCCCATTAGCAGAGGTGTGGGCAAGCCAGCCCCAAAGTTGTGGAGCATGGAAGAACGTCCCGTTACCTGTCATGTGATGGCATGAGCAGGAAAGAGACCCCCCCCACACACACACACACAAAATCAATGCCTAAGGCCATAAAGTGGGAGAGCTGTTCCTGCCCCTCATCTGCCGCAGCCCTGGGGAGACTGGCCCTGGTGCCAGTCTGGGCAACACTGAAGCTGGCCCTGAGGATGTAGGTGTGGGAGATCTGACCCTGAGGATGTGTAAGCGGGAGAATTTGCCCCGCCCCTTGCTCTTAGAGCAATGGGTGAAAAGGCAACGCGGGAGAGCTCACCCTAGTGGTGAGGACAGGGATAGCTGGCCAAGGGAAGAATCCTGCAACTACCCAGGCCAGGAACCACCCCATCTGTGATCTGCTGGAGCACGTGAAAGGACTGGTCCTGCAGACCCAAAGCCACAGAATTTCCACAACACAGATAACAGCAAGATAACCAAGAAGAACCTCAGTGAGGGCCCAGCATCCATACTGTAGCAGAAACCAGAGACCTAGAACCAGACCCATGGCTCTCTGCAGTGAACACTTGCAAGAAAAGATATGTGGACAAAAGGTGTGACTCACGGTGTCACAATACAACTTCCAGGACACGATTTTTTTCCCTTTTTTTTTCTTTTTTCTCTTAAATTTTCTTGTGGGGGCTACACGGGCAGAGGGTGGATCCACAGGGAAGGAAAACAAATGGGCCTGAGATTCATGATGGGAAAGACACAAGGAATAAATGAAAAGAAAGTTTAAAAAACGACAGGTAAAGAAGAGGTCATGAATTTCATAGGGCATTGGGGTGCACAAAAAAAGAAAATAAAATATGCAGACTTAAGGAGCTGATTGTGCAAGCTGAATAAACAGAGGCTGAGATGAGAAAGGGACCCACCCACTGGCCAGCTGTTAAGGGATGACTTTGAATGAAGGCGCCATTGATGTCAGGCCTGGGTTCAAATCCTAGTCTGGGCCCCTGTCCCCTCCTCTGCCCTCCAACCAGAGGTACTGGGAGACTAGCTAGCAAAACCATTCTGTTAGCAGCTCTTGGCCGCCACACAGAGTGTGAGTTCCCAGCATGGCCAGTTTGCTGGCTCTTTCCTGGTTGTTTGCCATTGCTGGTCGGGACCCAACTTACAGAGGGAAAACCAAGACTAAGCTGAACTGTTGCTCTCAGAGCCTGGTGGGGGAGGGGAAGGTCAGGATCCACTCCTGGATCCTCAGGGCTGTCCAGCATCCCTCCCCGAACCAGCAGAAACCCTCACCTGGGCAGCGGCTGAGACTCGCCAGCTCTGGGCTCCCTGCCCACGCTGTGGAAGCTAACGGACCTTGTAGGCAGCTGCACACACACACACACACACACACACACACACACAGGTCCTCAGTGCTCCCTCCCCAGGACTCCTCCTCATGCCCCCAGGCCTTCGCACAGTGCGGTGCTGTTCTCACTGCTGGAACACTCTGTGCCTCACCCTGCTTTTCCAGTTAACTCCTCTGACTCCATCTCTCCTTAGCTCTTTCCCATGGGGTGTGTCCCAGTTAGCACCACCCCACCACACACACACACACTCACACTCCATCCACATGGCACAGACTGAGACTTCCCCTCCACCATTACACAGCCCCCATTACACTGAGTCTCCCATGGCCTCTAGCCTTATCCCCTGGGGGCATGGACCTCTGCTGAGAGCAGAAACCCTGGCCTAGGCTTCTCTGGTCCAGTACCAGACCCCACCAAGTTTTGCTCCAGAGTTAGCCTCTACCCCTTCAACCTCACACTCTTTGCTGCCCCAGTTCCATCTTCCTTCAGCCAGGGGCTGTCCTTCCTGTGGGCTAGCCTTCACCCTCTCTTAGTCACTTCTCTGACCCCTATTGCAGCTCAGGGCTGCATTCCTAAGGTCACCTCTGTCTTGAACCTCAACCTTCTCACCTGTAAAATGGGACAATACTGAAGAGTGCCTTGTAATGTACTGGTGGGAATCTTTTTTTTAAAATATTTATTTATTTATTATGTATACAATATTCTGTCTGTGTGTATGTCTGCAGGCCAGAAGAGGGCACCAGACTTCATTACAGATGGTTGTGAGCCACCATGTGGTTGCTGGGAATTGAACTCAGGACCTTTGGAAGAGCAGGCAATGCTCTTAACCTCTGAGCCATCTCTCCAGCCCACTGGTGGGAATCTTTTGTGTGGAAAAAAAAAGTGGGTGAACTTATGGGAGAAAGCAGTCAGTCAACATACTTGCAGAGCTCCCCCCACCCCCTGTTCCCTTGAGTACCAAGGCCTCTTCCTTGGCCCAGCAGGAGCCCAGCACCCACATTTGGAGAGGGGCATACCCTTCCATATGCAGAGATGCGGAAACCAAGACCCTAAAGAGAGGGCACTGGACTTCGGGAAGCATCTTCCCTATCTGGAGTCTGAACTGTGCGTAGAGGGTACCAAGCAGTTTTGGTGTGTCCAGAGTCCAGCAGAGACAGGCAGCAAGCAAGTAAAGACTGTGTGTGAGAAAAGAAGGAAGGCTGCGGGGGTGGGGCCCAGGAGCCACCGTGCTGGGGTGGGGCCCAGGAACCACCGTGCGTGGGTGGGGCCCTGAGGCCACCTGCGGGGGTGGGGCCCAGAAGTCGCCTGTGGGGGTGGGGCCCAGGAGCCACCGTGCGGGGGTGGGGCCCAGGAGGCACCATGCTCCTCGCGGCTGTTTCTAGGGCTGAGGAATGGTGGCTTCACTGGTAGACAGCTTGTGTAGCATGTACAAGGTCCTGTGCTTGGTCTAAAGCACCGC